TTCTAGGAAATTCTGGTAGTTTTTACCTGGCATAACTTGTGATCTACTCAACACTATTGTCAAAGAAAGTCTTTCTGATAAAATAAAGATTCTGGAGTGATGGAAATTGATGCCAAAACCTCAAGAACAGATCCTCTCAATAGATATTATTCAATATCCCCTAAGTAGAGCTCTGGCTGGGAATGCGTAACTTCAAGTTAAGTGTGAGAAATCATCAAACAATCCCCAAATGAGGAATATTTTCTTTATTTAAAAAGGGGATGGAAATGTATTCCTCAATTTGTCAATGTCATCAAACACAAAGACAGCTTAAAAATTGTTGCAGGATAAAATTAAGTTATATGAACTGAACAGTGTGGTTTTTGATGAGGATTTCCAATTAAATTATGGAAAAAATAGGCAAGTTCACAAATATACAGTAATGGAATTTAAAACCAAAGTAAAGAAAAGATGGATGTTTAAAAGAATGCTTATAGGGAAATTAGAGATTTATAGAGAAAACAATAAATACTAACCACTGATTCACTGGATACACTAAAATAAATTCCAAATAGATAATTTACCTACATAATACATATAAAAATGTATTTACAGGGGGTCCGAAGTTCAAGTGACTATAGAGAACTGAGAGGTTGAGGTGGAAGGAAAAGCCTGAGGAACACAGGAATGAAGGAGTAAAGTTCAAAGGGGACATATTGACGGATTCAAGGCACTGAGGATAAGAACCAAGGTGGTGAGAGGATAAAGGGGAAACAGAAGCAATAAGAAGAGAGATGCCTTGAGGAGCAAGTTTTGGAGATTTTTATAAGTTTCCTAAGAGGCCAATGAAATTCTAAATTAGCTTCACAAAAATCCTGCCAACAAGAAGGAAGTGGACAGTCTGGTGGAACATACAGGCAACAGGAGTTCAAGAAGGAAGGTGCAGCCAACTGAAAAGTTTCCATGGGAGAGACAGGAGAAAATAGACAGAACAGAGAGTCCCCTGAAACACCCATGTAAATTTTCCTGCTCAAGAGAAAGATCCAGGAAGAAAACTTCCAGCCTAGGGAGTCAGAAATAATCCCCACTCAAGACAGAGAGCAAGAGCCAGGAAAAGAGACTTCTGGCCCAGCAGGCACCTTCCAAACAAAGAAGCCTAGGCCTCTTCCCCAGCTCCTCTTTCCTGGGACTCAAGTAGTGTCTTATAAACAGTTGCTTATAACCTCAATTCTCGCAAACAAATAAACTTGGGACTCTAATGCAGTTTCTTGAGTATTCTCAGAATCTTAAGCATCAAAACCTGTCATTATCAGTTTCAATGAACTGTCATCCAGAGTAAGGGCTCAGGAATCTGACTCACCAATGATCACTGTTCAGTCAGAATTGAAGATAAAAGCTTGAAAGGCACATATGTAAGGGGGAGAGACAGGGGATACAATGGTGACTCTGATTCTATTCAAGTCACAGGCACCATAGCTATTAAAGAAAAAACTATTTCTGTTAAAGAATGGTAAAGTAAACTTTATTCAAGGGAGAATTATGATTCGAATAAGCACCACTGCAGTGGATTTCACAACATGTAAAAAGGTGGATACACCATGACTAAGTACAATTTTTTCTAAGAATGCAAGATTCCTTCAATATATGAAAGTCAATCAATGTGATTTATTATATTGAAGCAATAAAAGACACAAACCGTGTAATAATAGCAGGAAAAGCATTTGACAAGATCTATATCATTCATGATAAAAGAAAAAGTGACACTGAACAACATAGGAATAGAAGGAAACTTTCTCAAGCTCATAAAAGACATATACAAAACACATGCCCCTAACATTATATTTAATGCTGAAAGACTGGATGCTTTTTCATTAACATTAAAAAAAAAAAATTTCCACTCTTGACATTTCTACTCATTGTTTTAGAGGGCATAGAAAGGGTAAATTGGCAAGAAAAAGAAGTAAAATCTATCAATATAGAAAAGGAAGAAATAAAACTATCTCTATTTGTAGATGGCATGACATTGAATATATAAAATACTGAGTATTCCAGTAAAAAAATAAATTTAGAACTAATGAGCAAGTTCAGCAGTGTTTCATAATATGAAATCAATACTGAAAAATCAATTGTATTTATAAACACTATCCATGTACAATCCAGAGTGAAGGTAAGAAAACCACTTCATTTAAAATAGCATCAAAAAGAATAAAATACCTAGAAATAAGTTTAGCAAAAAAAAAATGTGTACTAGTTAATTTTTGGTGTCAGCTTGATTGGATTAAGGAATATCTAGAAAATTGATAAAGTATTATATCTGGATGGATCTCTGAGGATATTAACATATGAGCCAGTGGGCCGAATTGAGGAAGATCTACCCTCCAATATGATTGGGTACCACCCAATTGGCTGGTGGCCCAGACAGAACAAAAAGCACAGGAAAGGCAAATTTTCTTTTTTTCTTTCTTTTTCTTTTTACTTTTTTTGAGACAGAGTCTTACTCTGTTGCTCAGGCTAAACTGCCATGACGTCAGACTAGCACACAGCAACCTCAAACTCCTGGGCTCAAGCAATCCTTCTGCCTCAGCCTCCCAAGTAGCTGGCACTAGAGGCATGTACCACCATGCCCAGCTAATTTTTTCTATATATTTTTAGTTGGCCAAAAAATTTATTTCTATTTTTAGTAGAGACAGGGTCCTGCTCTTGCTCAGGCTGGTTTCCAACTCCTGACCTTGAGTGATCCACCCGCCTTGGTCTCCCAGAGTGCTAGGATTATAGGCTTAAGCCAGGGCACCCAGGCGTGAAAGGCAAATTCTCTTTCTCTCTCTCTCTGTCTCAATATATCAGATACTAACCACTATGCATGGGTTTGCCTCATTCAGGTGCCAACCCAGTTAGAAGCAGAGAAGTGGAAGAGAACTTGTGAAGTGCCTCTCACAACACACACCTCATTCAAATTATCAGGAGGAAACCGTGAGTCCATGATACCAGAGTAAAGAGGTGCCCAGTGAAAGAAGCAAACCAAATCTCCAAGTGGATGGGCTACCTTTAAGGTTATTAAAAGTATCTGTTTAAGAAGAAGGAAATGTAATCCTAGCACTCTGGGAGGCTGAGGCAGGCGGATTGCTCAAGGTCAGGAGTTCAAAACCAGCCTGAGCAAGACCCCGTCTCTACCATAAAAATAGAAAGAAATTAATTGGCAATAAAATATAATATTAAAAAATCAGCCGGGCATGGTGGCTCGTGCCTGTAGTCCCAGCTACTCGGGAGGCTGAGGCAGGAGGATCGCTTGGGCCCAGGAGTCTGAGGTTGCTGTGAGCTAGGCTGAGCCACGGCACTCCACTCTAGCAAGAAGCGGAGACCTGTCTCATAAAAAAAAAAAAAAAGAAGAAGGAAAAATGAAAATGCTGATATCTTTGATAAGCTTTCTTTGGTTATTTGTCTTATCTATAGGATGGAGGACAACTCCTTAGTGAGTGAGTATTTCCAGGGTTATCACATTTTCTGCTTAACTGTCTCACTACTGAGTTTGCCATCCTAAACCTGTGCTCAGAGGTCCCATGTTTCGTTCTTGCCCAGCCCTGAATGAGACATTACGTACAAGGTGACAGTAAAGACCTGCAATCCTACCAGTGTCATAGATGCGAAGCCAGGTAAAATCTCTCTTATCGGGTATCTTCCTTCATTTTGCCTTGTCAATCCTCACAGTTATACTTGTTGGTTAAGCCCCTTTTTCCACCTGGTAATCTAGTATATTATTTATTTTTGTAGATCTATTTCCAAAACGTTGCAATGGCATTAATAAGTATAAAACTTTCATCTAAAACAATGCCCAAATTCAGCAGGAAGAAGCTCAATGACTACATCCTCCTCCTCCCAATAGATATGGAAGGGTAAAATTGATAGTGCAGAATACGTAACAGAGGTAATGGCCTGGAAAAGCGAAAAATGTTTTACACGTTGTCTCTTTAAAAACCATCCCCACAATTTTTGGGAATGAAAACCTTCACCCCTGCCTGAGGCCAGTAATAGAGGAGCAAAACCAGGTCCTTTGTTCTTTGTACCACAGGCGATGGCTCAACAGAGGTCACCTGTTTTCATCAGAGGTGGGGTTGAACAGGAACAGCAACCCCAAACGGGAAAGTCCTTTTGAAAGCTCTGTATTTCTGCTTATAGGAAGGACTGCGGTACTTGAAGACGGGGGTCTGCCATACTTCTCATTTTGCTGGCATATAAGCTCCCCTTTCATTCTCAAATCACTTTTCCTTATTCTTCTGATGCAGCCTTGAGGACAAGTGCTAAATTTTTGGTAAACGTTTGGTATCCTGTGGCTTCCACACTAACTCTGGTTTTGTGTATGCAGAAGCAATATTATGAATTCGTCTTTTTTTTATTTCAGCATATTATGGGGGTACAAATGTTAAAGATATGTATATTGCCAGTGTCTCCTTGGCCCCCTCCAGTCAAAGCTTCAAGCGTGTTTGTCCCCCAGATGGTGAGCATCACACTAATTACGGGGTCTTTATTTTTCTCACTTTGTCACAGTCACTAAATGACATTGTCTGATCTTCGTGCTTTGTAAGATTGTTTGTGTCCAACAGGAAAGCACCACTGCCCAGCAGGCAGCACCAGGTCACCTTCTCACAACTCCAAAGCCTGGAAGTGTCAAGGCAGTTTCCAGATGTCAGGAGCTGCTTTCCTGCTCACTTGTTAAATCATTGCAGATAAGAAAAAATTCTGTGTCACTTCATAGAGGAGTGTGTGGAATGAAACTGAACATTTGTCCTTGCTTTGATTAGCATATTCATGCTGGATAAATCTCTGGACTCTAATAGTATTTCCAAGATCAGTGTTTATTTCAAATTATGGAATAAAGATATGGAAAGTCCAAATATTAACAGGAACACAAGGAAGTACAAGGTAAAATTTGAAGTGTCTGTCACTGGGATTGTCTAAACATTGGACAACTACCCTACCACCTCTAAAAATTCCATCATTTTGTCTTATTCATTATTATTATCAATTCAAAAGGAGATAAATTGATGAGATGAGGGATATATAGAAGGCAAGGTAAGTAATTGGATATTACCAAAAGTTTGTCAAAAGGCCCAGCCCCTCAGGACCAGATTCAGAACACCCAGGCTGATTCTACCTCAAAGAAATCGAAAACGGAAAAACTGATAGATGTCCTGAACACAAAACCAGTAATCTGCAAGAGAAAAAAATATATTGTCATGAGGTTTGCACAAAGGATGAAGAATCTAACTTTATTTTTTGGACTATAAATAGTTACTAAATGTCAAATATCACTGAATTCAGTGGATTCAAAAAGAATATGAGATTTTAAATCCAAGAAGATAAATGATCAATTCTTGTCCTTAAAGAATTAGGATATATTCCCTACATAGAAGCCCAAGTAAGGTGGACAATTAGAGAGAAATGGAAGCCAGCTAATGCATATGGGTTTTCCCTATAATATGGCACAAAGCAATCCTCTTATAAGGGAGAACTCTGCATTTTCTAACCCATGAAACAGATTATTAGGGATATTGCCAATCATTGGCCCAGACATGAAAAATATAAAGCAAAATTTGAAGATGAAACCTCGGGATGTCAATTATTTGACCATCATTCCATCCCTTTTCTTATTGCTCATGTCCTCAAGGGAAAGTTTTTCATTGTAACTTTTCCATTTACACAACTTCAGAATATTTATTTCATAGAGTGACTGTGAGATTGAAATTCCAACAGTGGCTGCATATGTTTAGATTCAACTAATCTTGTAGTCAACGCTATGTGAAAGTTGAAAAGCAGGGAAAAATGAACCAAGAACAGTAAAACTATACCTCATGCTTAATGGATTTCCAAATTCCCAGAAATATCCTAAGTCATATTCTAAACAATCTGCCCCAGGAAAGATCGTACAGTTTACCCATTGTTAAGCTATTTTCTATTTTAAGGAAATGCTCACAAGAAAAAAAAAATTGTCTGATTTGATAAAAATATAAAACATAATCCATTACCTTGCCACATAAAGGCAGATAATTTGGTCTTACCAATGATGTTTCTATTAAATAACAATTATCCTTAATAAATGCTAACATTTCAAGATCCATCCAGATAGTATTGGAAAACTAGGAGTAACAAGCTCATGACTCCTCTGATATTTATGTGTTGACTTGATTTAAAATGCACGAGAAATTCAAAAACAATGTGAGGAAAACAGGGCGTTCATCTTATCTTTCCCTTCCTGACACCAAAAATATAGTCTCTGGGGAATAGAGAACCCAGGAAATCCAAGACTACAAAATGGAAGCAATTAGATGGAATGATCTTACCTTCTGAAAGGTTGCAAATATAACCAGAGGTATCTGCATTTACAGCAGCAGGGGAGGTTTCTTCAGGGGCAGCTGAAATTAGGAAGAAAACTTCCAGGTAAGACTTTGACTCTTCTGCAGGGAATACAATTTCTCCCACCCTGGAGTGGACCTTCATTTTTCATCCTCAATTCATTTCTGCATATGTCATCAATTCTGTCATACCAGTAGCATACCTTCCCATTTACCTCTTGCCTTATGTTCCCTGCACTGTCTTCACTAGGACAGAAAGAATTTGGGATTTCCCTCAAAGAGCAATGGCACTGACAGAAGTGATAGGCAAGTACTTTCTCCCACCCTGAGCACAAAATACCAAGTCCACATGTGGTGCTATCGACAGGACTACTCCCAGAGCAACAAGAAGATTCCTACTTGGTTGACATTCTGATGGCATCCACGGAGCAGCCTAGGACTGCGAACGTGCCATTGCAGCGTGAATGAGGACAAGCAGAGGGATAATTTCTAGTCGAGAAGAAGAGGAAGATTAAAAAGATGTATCCAATCTTAGAGTCGTATTTCCTATCTTAGCTGTAAAATAACTTCTGTCACCTTCTAGCCGGAAAGAAGTCATATTTATCGCACGCTTTGTGACAATTCAGAGGAGTTGTCACCTATTAGAAGAGTAATAGTGAGAGCCACGTTTGATTTAATGGGACAAATTGGTACACTTCTGGCAATAAGAATGAGCACATGCCCCATGAGTTATTACATGTTAAAGGACCTTATTAACAGGTATGAGAGTTATGCTTCCCTTGACCTTACACTATTGCTACTGACAAAGCCTAGGAGTCAGATTCCACATTTCTGAGTTAAACCTCCCTCAAGAACTGGATAGCTCCATCTCCAAACCCATTATTCAGCCATGCTGTCTGAGACCTCTTCAGAAAAAGAATACTGTTAAAACGGGATCCCATGTAGGGGTCTAAATTCTCCTCTATATTTTATCCCTCTACTCACACTCATTCAAATGACAATGGGACTTGTGCATTCCATGGGAAGGCATCAGAATGTCAGGTTACCATGAATTCACTTATTGCTCCTGGGCAGTAGTCCTGTGAGTAGCACCACATGTCACTTGTTTTCTGTGCTCATGCCTAGGGCAAGGAACATGCCTATCTCTGCAGTTGTTGTCATTGCCCTTGGGGGAAAATCCCAAATTCACTCTTCCCAGCAAGGCCAACAAAGGGAAAAGTGAAGATAGGGCATGTGGCCCACAATGAGATGCCTAGTTGGAGTCAATGTCCTTTGACCAATGGATGCAAATCTCCAAACTGTGGAGGATGAATATAGAGATCCTCATAACTCATACATGAACATAACACACACAGCATATAATGCACAGGACCCTTCGAAAGAAACCCAAGAATGACCAGGGACTTTGATCGACAACCTTGGTTTTCAGGTCAGAGAGAGGAAACAAACATTACCCTTAGAATTAGACATTATACACCATTAGAAAAGCAAACTCAGAATCCTACTTCTACCAGACCCCTGTATTCCACATTCCATACACCACTTTCATTTGCAGTCCAAATGCTTCATTTTATATCACTTTTAAAATTACAATCTCTTACTTTATTCTGTGACCCACTGGTCTCTGTTTACAGTAGCAATATTCAGTCCTTCAGTTTATTAAAGACTTTACACGCATCAGCCAAAAATTCTCAGGCTTCAACATCACACCTCATGAACTAGTGCCACTGTCTGAGGAGCAATGAGGAAGTCCACAATTTACATAAGTCTATGTCCTAGATTTTGTATTGTCTATCAACATATAAGATATAAATAGGTTAACTGTGTGCATAATGCACGTTAGTATAAGGAATACAGCCTTCTCAGGCTTCTGTTTGGGATTCGTTACAACTTAGAATAGCCACATGCAAGCTGATTATATGCCATGAGCTGGAAATGGAAAACAGTCATTGCAGGAAGGAGATGAAGTTCAAGTTCAGTCTCACCAGTAGCAGAGGTGTCAGATGGAGCAGCTGTCGCATCCTCTGAAAGAGAAGAAGGAAAAATAGGATGAAAGATGATAACCAGTTGTGAGGTGCAGGGAAGAGAATGTGGACAGTATTTAAACTTTCACAATGGAAGAACCTCAGTCCTTGGTGCAGAAATTGAAGGTGAACACATGCACAGGTAATGTAAAACACGTGAAATACCATAGAGAAGTAACGTGATCATATGTCCTTTAGTAAAATAAACCTCTGATTACCTTCTAAACTTATTTTATTGACAATAGCAATAAAATTGTATTCTATGGTTATTAAGATTTGACTGAATTAGGATATTCCTATGGGAGGAATCAACTCCACCTTGTACAGCCAGTCAAAAAGTGGTAGAACAAATTAGGGGAGTGGATGTAAGGAGGTGCAGCATTCTAGGCACCTGCAAGTACAATCAGCAGAGAGTGGCTATTTTTACGGACTACTATTTCAAACCTCATGTTTAGGTAAGTGTCCTTACTTACGGCCAGAGAGCAAGATGGTAGAAACTCCCACCAGTACTAGCATTGCCAAAAACTTCATGGTGGTGAATTGAAGACCCAGGAGCACAAACAAGAATGCTTCGGAGTCCAAGGGTAGGCAAATGCTGACTCCAGGATTCCACAGCCTGACAATATATAGGCAGAAAACACCAATGAGAAGCTGCCAGACCAGAATCTAGGATGGTTAATGCCAGAAATTGTTGTGGCACAGAGAAACAACTAGAAAATCAACAGCATTGCTAGAGGCCTTTTGGAAAGGTTTTGAGTTCAGATCCTTGATTCAACTCAAGACTTGTGCATATTAAATATTTTCCAGGCAGTAACTTCACTTTCAGGCTTCCTCTTACTTGTGGGGTTGAGTGTCTCCATGAATTCAATCTCTTCTGTCAAGGTAGGGATGACTTCATTATCAGACGTCCTGATATCTGCAGTGCTCCTTTCATAGACATTAGGAGGTAGAAACTTACAGAGTGCTTAACCTTCTGTCTCCTCATAAGGGAATAATTAGGGCAGAGCAGCCTAGTCCAAAGACCATCCTGTGTACATCAAGCTGTGTATTCTTCAAGCCATGGGTACCTCCTGTACGTGTTGTTAGGCTCATCTGACACTGATACACAGTGAGTCCAATACTTATCTAAAGAACAACATTTAACCTCCCCAGTTTAAAGCAATTATTGTGTAAATATTTTAGATTAGAGGTTAAGAAGATAGAAAACTGAACTAACATTTGTCAATTAGTGCATCCAATGAATCAATTCATTCACTCAACAAGTATTAATTGAGCATTATTATGTGACAGGAGCAATGCTGGACATTTGAGAAATAGCAGAAGGTAAAGTACAAAAAAACTTCATGACATGTATCATATTGTATATTTCATAAATTAAGAGGTAAGAAAAGGAAAAAGATAATGCCTTATATTTGAGGTGATAAAGTCTAATAGAAAATAAGAAAGAAAAAAGGGAGTAATGTTGTAGATGGAAAGTGGGGTGTAATTTTAGATAAGGTGACCAAAGAGGACATTAGTGGAAAACATGGCCTTTGCACAGAGATTTAAGAGGCTGAGAAATCAACCATATAGTATGTTTAGATAGTGCATTGGGAAAAAACACAACGTGAGTGCACGTGCATTATTGTCTTCCAGGTTTCTCCGTTGCTGTTGAGTAGAGCCAGCACTGCACCAAGGCATGCCCAACTACACGACCTTTGTTGTAATGGACCCAAGATACTAAGTAAACACAAAAAAGGAGATAAATCCCCACATTTACAGCATAACCAAGTGCTATACCCAATCAAGGCTTCCGAGGGGTGCTGTACGTCTGGAATGCCCAGAATGATGAGGAATTCACTGTGTATTAAAGACTTCCCTGTTGTTCAATGTCTCTCATTGCTCCAAAGTTCTTCCTGTTCATACAGAGTATATCTTTTTCTTAGATCTCTATTAGCTGGGATAGCACTAAACATCTATCTATTTCTCTGTTTATTGGATCATCTACCTGGAAATAACAGTCAATTCACTTGCCAAGAGATGCTATAGGGTCACCATCAGTTGAACGGAAAAAGGGAAAATGAGAGAATTGTCTTGAACCTCTGAAAGGCAAGCATGTGTCCTTGTCATAGTCAATCTCACATCTGCCATGAAGCATTGAGTCGTCATAACATGGTGAGGAGATAGTGTAAAGCAATGCTAAAAAAATCAAATAAAAGCATATTCTCAATGGAAAGGCAAAGGGAGAAATATTAAAAGGACATAAAGACAAGGAAGAAAGACTTACATGACAGATATTTTCTGATTAAAGATAACATGAAATAAATCCTATATCTAGTCACACAAAGCCTCCAGAAAAAAAAAAAGACACAAATTGGATGCTATTCTAGGGGATGGTTCCTTACTGGGAGCTCACTATATGTCCTCTTCAGTGAAGAGAGCCAGCAGACAGACTTACCTAAGGCAGTGATTGACTGGTTGAGATTAAACATGTATATCTGTTAAGGTCCACTTGGGAGAGAGAAGCCACACAGTGCCTTAAAAAGAAAAAGTTTGATATAAAGAAATACTAAAGTCTAATAAAAGAGTATGAGGAAACTACTTGAAAGCCCAGGGATAAAGAAGAATGTCCAAGAAAGGACAACCATGGACAGGGGCCTCCTCCCTAAGGCAGGTGCTCAGAACTCACTGGAGAAGCAGCCTTCCGCATAGCAGAGAAGTTTGCTGCTTTGACCAGGCTGAAGCTGGTCTGCAGCTGCTGTGCAATCCGAGATCCATCACCCAGAGAGTACACGTGGGAACAGACAATAGTAAGTTGTAGCCTCGGTGTGCAGAGGGGAGTGGGCTCAGGGTGTAGCTGGGCCTCCTGGGACCTGTGACAACTTTGAGGTCTTATTTGGCTGAAATTATTAGATTTGGATAATATTATGCTCAAATTCTCTGTTTTTAGTATTATTATTTGCAGTGGAATCTAAAATTTAATTGTAGTATATCACGTGAATATATAAAATCTACTCAGAAATAATATCTTTTTTGATAAAATAAACAGCATTACATATATTGGATATGTTGTAAGAAAATTAGACTGAGTCTTCCAAACATCTATACACATCTATACTCCATTTTTGTGGCAACTGTCAAATATTATGTAACATAGTTTATTTAAAGCCATGTATTTTAGATATAACAAAATGTTATCTGTCTCTCTCTATATATGTATACACTACATACTAGTATATGTAATTAAAAAGTAAAATTAAGTACATAATGCATCTCCAAAATTTTTTACCACTGCTCTTTCACATCACTAGATTACTTTGGGATTTTCTTTATAAAAATCAAAATAGAAGCGTAGCTACAAAAAAGGGGGGGGGCTCCAGATCTACCAAGACAGTAAGATAATTGCCATTATTACTTGGTAAATACACATTCCTAAAACATATTTTGCATATATGAACACACAGTTATTTGTCTATACTCCTCCATGCCTAATACTCCATACTATCACTGCCACAACTACCAAAAAGTAACAATTAAGTAAATTTTTCCATGTTTCCATTACCACAGGCAAATATGTGTAGATGCCAATGACCATATATTTGTGTCCGTGTCCTTAAAAATGCTGTTCCAAAATGTCATTATGTTATAGACCACTTTTTCTTGTTTGTACCCTCAACACTGGTACTTAAAATTCTATGTCAGTCCCTGTATGTCTGTTTCATCCTTTTCAGTGGCTTTCATAATGTACTCTAGTAATACCTGTTCATAGGGATACAGATCATTTCAATTTTTTGCCTTCACCAAATCATGAAACCATTGATATGCTTTTAAATGGACCCTAATTTACAAAGGTACTATATCTATGTTATATATCTCCAGAGGTTTTTCAGTATTATCATATGAATATATGTGTGTGTGTGTGTATATATATATATATATACACTTTGATACATGTTATCAAACTGGTTTCAGGAAAGTCTCCAAGACTTAAAATAATAGAAACAAATAGTAAGAGCATATTTTTATGGCCACTTCTCAGTGAGCAGTAAATATCATCTCAATGTAATTATGCCAATCTGATAGGTTAGAGGCAATATTTGTTATATCAATTGCATTTACTTGATTACAGTAAGTTTGAGCATATTGCATATATTTGAGAACTTGAATTTCCTATTCCAAGATATCCATATTCTAATCTTTTTATCTATTGTGTTACCTGCTTGTATCTTCTTACAGACCCTGAGATTATAAGAAATATTAACATATTATCTTGTATAAATATCAGTTTCCAATCTAACATTTTATTTTGTTCATAATTTTTTATTAAATCTTTGAAATTCAAATAGAACTATCACTTTTATTATAATTTCTATAGTGAAGAATCTGTAAGAGATGCAACTGGGTCATGTTATTCCTTTGACAAGTTGATATTCCTCTATGCTAAGAACATATCTACTGTTAATCCCCAGACTTACCCAATGATCACAAAACTATCTCTAGTCATCCCTGCACGCGCCAGTGGAGAGCATATTAAAAGGGCAGACGGGCCCTGAGGGGAAAGCAGCAAAGAAGCCCCGCCCTGAAGAGAGGTCTTAGCATCAGAGACTCAGTCCATCCAGACCCCTCACTGGTCGGCACGCGCCACACAGAGGTGGGAGCACCTGCTGCAGTCCTGAACTGGGATGGGCAAGGACACATGGGTTTCAACAAAACAAGATACAACTGAACACAGACCAGCCAGAGGTTTAGATATTGAATTTTTAGAAAAAGAATTGAGGTGAAGGGAAGACCTGGGATAATTTGAGGCAAAATAGAATTTTGTGTTAGGACCAAAAGGTAAGATTTCTTCCTGTGATCAGGTCAACAGAGCTGAGGCACACACAGGGCTGTGCAGTGAGTGCCCAGCATTTAAATCTGAATGTGTGCACCACACATGATATATACAATAAGGTTGTTTCTACTATTTATCAGTACATATGATTTCTGCCAAATATCATTGCCAATCAATCTAGACTTCATTATTATGAATATAAGGAAGCCTTAAATGTCTATCAAACTACAGTAAGCCCCAAATTACAGATATACAACTTGATTCTACTTACCTCATAGTACTTATCATTATCTGATATTTGCTTGTCTCTTTCTTTATTTTCTCTGATTGTTGGCTTTCTACCTGCCCTCTCAATAAATAAGTTCTGTGAGTTAAAAAACAAAAATTTGCTTTGTTCTACACGATGACACAAAACCTGTAAGAGTGCCAAGCACCTAGTCAGTTCTTGTTACATGTGAGTTAACTAGAAGAATCAATGAATGAATATATGCAATTCAAATCAAAGAATAAGACAAAGAGGGAAGACTTTATTAAACTATTGGGAAGAGAGAATATGTCTCTGAAACATAAGAAGTCAGCACAATGTGGATTATATTGTGAAAGGTAAAAGCTCAGGCTACGATTGTGAGCTAGCATATAAAATAGACGAGGAAAGTTTAGGCAGGTAGGAAAGCTATAAACAGAATGAACAAGGAAAGGAGTCAAACTCAATACTCTTATTGTCACAAAATCCTGGATGTACAAAGAATATATAAAAAAACAACAACAGTATGCACTTCGAGGTGAAGGTAGGAGGTCTACAAGCA